ATTTTTTGTTATTTCAGGGACCAATTTGTCTATTTTTTATTGCTAGGGACTGAAAAGTGCTTCGTGGATATTGCCAGGGACTAAAAATGGTATTTACTCATGATAATACATTACATACAAACAATTTAATGATAATATAAATATCTTTCATATAAATAAAGGATTTACTTGTCCTTTTAAAGAACATAGAGTTATGTTATGTTAAATGAGAGAATAACACAAACAATGAAAATTACACGGAGAGAAAACGAGTATTTATTTAAAAATTTAAAATTTAAATAAAAATAGTAGGTTGTGTCTTTCTCTCAATTAAAATGACACAATTATATACCGTTTAAAACGATAAATATTTTCCCATAAATAAAACATTTAATTTTAGGAAAAAATATTTTGACTTTTGTTGCAGAAAAATATTTTATGGCACACTCACATAAAAATGTGTTGATCTCATTATAAAGGGAACTCGAAAAAAAGATTATAAGAACCTACTTATTTTTATGTGAGTATGGTAGAAAAAAATTCTAAAAAAAAGAACATTGAGCCCTTAATTTTAATAATTTATTATTGTAAAAAAATTACACTAATACTTAATCATGTATTATATTATTAAAAAATATTTATTCTTACAACAACTTTAAGTGTATCGTTTTTTAATAACTTGACAATATATTATTATATTATTAAATAGTTTATAAATGAGAAATACTTTTCTTATGTTGTAGGAAAATAGTTACCTTATGTTGTTGAAATAAAATTAGAAGTGCAACCCACAAGTAAGAAGAGAGAAAAAAAGAGTGGTAGGACTCATCCCTCTTTTGTGTGTGTAAAAAATTTGTTTCTCTTATGTAAAATGATATAAATATAACCCTTTAGAAATATGGAAAAAATGTGTGTCGTTTTAAAGGATTGTAACAATCCAAAATTTATTTCAAAATAAAAAAAATATAGAGTCACCACATATTTTATTTAATTTGGAAAAATTGAAAAACTTTTTATTTTTGCAAAATTGATCTTTGAATCAATGTCTGATTATGTACAGGAAATAGTGGAAACTTAATCCCACTGTATTTCTAACACATCCGTTTTAAAAAAGGTTAGAGTAAATACGTTTTGGGTCGCCAAGAAAAAACACAGAATCCATTTTAATCCCTTACGAAAAAAAAGTTGACTTGTGGTCCATATGAAGTTTCAATTCTTTGAAATTGTGGTCTCTCCAAAACTTAAAGAAAACTCACATTAGTTCCTCAAAAAGGACTAATATCAATACTTTTTTTTAAGGGATTAAAATAGATTCCTATTTTTTGTTGAGGATCCAAAAGGGTATTTATTGAAAAGGTTACTTTAAATTAGTTGTGCAGATTTTTAATAACTTTAGAGTATTTGTTTAACCTAAACAAAACAAGATGGAAAATAAAATTATTTACAAGAAATGAAAAGGAACTTTTAAAAGGTTTATTTTGAGCTTGACAGAGAAATTATGCTCTGACGTATCCTCTGCTGCACTGAGAAACTCAAAGTTACGTCGTTATGTAGAAAATATTTGTTTGTTGGTTGATTTTAATTTTTGAAAGTAACTCACAAATGCACAAGGTATAAGATAACATAGTATATATATATATATATATATATATATATATATATATATATATATATATATATATATATATATCCTTACGAAGCATATGACAATTGAGGGTGGTCAACCACACAATCAACCTTGTACATCTCACGTGAATTAATGTAAGTTTAAAACAAAATTATTAAAATGTATCTTGATTATAAATAAATTGATAAGGATTCTCTTTTGAAATTAAATCAACATTACGCGAGTCCAAGATAGCAAGACTATACTAAGGCTCTTACGAATGGACAACGCTGGAAGATGGCAAACCATACACGTGAGAGTTTCATGTATTATCCAAAAAAATTTACTTGGTACAACACTTAATGCCTATTTAAAATGTTTTAGTTTTAGATTCTTTTCTCCTTAAAAACATAAGCTTAATTAAACATAATTTTATAAAAGCTCTTATTATAAAAAAAGAATCTTTTATAATGAAAAAAAAGTTAAAAGCTACAAACTTTTGGGAGGAGATTTTTTTTTTTAAAGATGTATGTCATCTTTTTGGAGTCCTCATAATTATTTTATAATTTTATCTTTATTTTAAATTTGTATTTATAAATTTTATTGTTAAGACCCATTTGCAAGGTGTGGGACTTGGAGTCTCACATTGGTTGTATGGGCAATTAATGTGAGGTTTATAAGGTCTTGGACACTCCCACCCTTTGAGCTAGCTTTTGGGGTGGTGCACCTCAAGGTTCTTATCAAATGGTATCAGAGCCTTTCACTATGTCTCTCGGTTGCAATTGAGCGGCGCGGGTGGTGACGCCGGCATTGCAGTGTTCACCCGGGGTTAGTAAAAGACTAGCGCAAAGCTAGCCCGCGTGGGCGCCGGGACTGCGGAGCATGGTGGAATGTTAGGACCCATTTGCAAGGTATGGGACTTGGAGTCCCACATTGGTTGTATGGGCAACTAATGTGGGGTTTATAAGGCCTTGGGCACTTTCACCCTTTGAGCTAGCTTTTGGGGTGATGCACCTCAAGGTTCTTATCAAATAAGCTGGCACGTACAAAGGTTTTTCTTGGGTTTTCTTACCTATCTTGGCTATTTTTGTAACACAAGGATGGCAAAACAAAGAGAAAGAAAAAATTGTGGTTTTACTGAGGAAGCCCTGACCTCTTGCTTGCACACAGTGCCAAACTAATATTTTCAACTGATATGTTTTATTAATCAAAACTCTAATTAAATAGACAATTACACATGAAAGCCATAATGCATGAAAATTGGAACCACCTAAAACTACCTCTACCCACTTTGCTAGGCTTTGGAAACTACCAAGACTTATTCAAATACTAGTCTAGTAACTAATTAGCAACAATAACGAAATAATAAAATAAAACAAAATAAAACTAAAAAATTCGTAAGATTTATTCTTTACCCTAGTGATTTACTCTGACAAATCATTTCATCTTCTCCCTTTGAAACCTCATAATAGTTTTGTATAATCACTAAAGAGCTTTTATCTTTATTTTTGAAACTCTTTTTTTTAACTTTATCTTAAAAAAAAAGTTGCGCCAAACATGCTCTTAAAAAGGTTGGGAATTTGACAACTTAAATATATAATTAACATGAATTAGTATTTGCTTGAACTAAAAGACCATAGGTAGGATATTCAAAATCAGTTCAGAACTGATCAAAAAAATGAGTTTTGATCCTGGTTCGAAAAAATAAGCTAATTTGAGGATTTTTTTTCCCCAATTTATTTCAGTTGAAAAAAAAAAAAAACCGAATCGAATTGGACACACCTTTAATTATAATATTCACTCCACTTGCGCATGAGCAAAAAAAAGCGGATTTTATGGAGAGATGATTTGTTAGACAACTATATGTTGGATACAAGCTCATACTTCGGATATTGGTAGTTAAGGGTGCTAAACGAGTCAGGGGCCTTTGGCTCGGCTCGTGAAGGCCTGAGCTTACATGTCTAAAATTGATTGTTGGACCCAGACTTGAACTTGTATAAAAGTTCGTTTAATAAAAAAGCCTCAGGCTCAAATTCAAAAGCTTGGCCTTAGAGCCTCTCAGACTTGTCTAATATATTTTATTTTTATTTTTTATAGTACTTGTGATAGCACTCTCTCTCTTCTCAATTCATTTCATCCATTTTATTAATTAAACATACTTTTTGAATGATTTTATTTTATATTATGCTATTTGGATATACATTAAATTTATGAATATTTATGAAATTACTAGTGCTGTTGATTGTAGATTTTGTTTGGGTAAATTTTTGTTGTCTTATTTTTTAAAAACAGGCTAAATCAGACTTTTGTTTTTTGTAAATGAGCCAGGCCACAGGCTGATATTATATTCGTAACAGGTAACAAGCTAAGGCCAGTCTGACACATTTGAACATAGACTCGGCCCGTTAAAACCAAAGCTCGGCTCGTTAACACCCTTACTAACAGTAGGGTTCTTATTGGTAGGATTATTAGAAAGACAATTGAGACCCTGCTTCCACGTGAATGAACTAAGATTTTTTAAATTTTATTTATATTTTTTTGTAAATCGAGTGAATTGTAATGAGTGAGATAAACTGAATATAGTATAAATAAGTTAAACTAACCTACATTTGATGAATCAATATAAATCACTATGTCAATTTTTCTCTTCCCTTTCTCTTGTTTTTTAATTTGTACGTGTATCGTTTTCCAACACAACAGCGCACTTAATTACACAGGCATGTTCTACGAGCCCATGCATGAATGCAACTGTTGGGTCCTGTTTTTTTGCTTTTTATGAAAAAAATTTAGTCTCATACTTTACTTTATGAGATAAATTTTTTCTCTTACACATTTTTTAATAAATGTACCACGTATTTTTAGGTAATGAAATTCACAAATTTATTTCTATGACATGAGATAATTTATTTTCTTTAACATGATATTAATAAAATCTTTTCTTTATTATTTAAAAGGGATTCAGAGCACTACAATAATCCATTATTTAAATATTAAATTTTTAGAGAGTAAATCTTTTCATATTTTATTTAACATGATATATGATCATGTCATAGGAGGAATTATAACCATACAAAGATAAATTAATAATAATTAAAAAAGAGAGAGAAAAATATATTGGAATATATAATTATAAAATTATCACCATTAATTTATCTTTATATAATTATAATTCTCCTATACGATCATATTATGTTAAATAAAAATTTGAAATGATCTATTTCCAAATTTTGAAGCATTGTAAAAATTATTATTTTTGTAGAAAATTAATACTTTTTGTAAATTGGACTACGGATTGCCTCGTATTTGTCGGTCAATGGAAATGAGTGGCACTGCAGAGTTTTGCAAAGAAAATCCTCGTTAGAGTGGAAGCTCAACGGATCTAGCCTCTATTTGTCAAACATTATAAGTTGGTATTTGAAGCCTCAGAATAAATGCATGTGTGTATCGTACAAGTACAAAGTTAATTCAGCTAATCATTGGATACCTACTGATCGTGAGTACTCAAGAAGCCGCCGATAAAGCCAGCTCCATTGCAATTCCCACATAACATCTCCTTCCTGCCCCTAGAAAGGTGGAAACAAAATTATAAGAATATCAATAACGATGAACTACATTGTATTCTTAGGAACTTAAGATGCTTTATTTTAGAATGCGACTAGAATAGCAAGCAGGTTTTTCTGTATCAGATAGAAAACATATAAAATTAGGGAAAGATGTTTACAAACTTTTTTTTATAAATTACACTAAAAGGACAAATGATAGATTTATCCATCTAAAGCAATTTACGCGAAGGAATTTCTTTAACAGAATATATAATTTCTTGCTGTGGAGCCCGCAAAGGGGTTGTAGATACTGCTGTACGAACATCAGATGCTGGATATCTTACATGTAGACTGATCGATCATACACTCTTGATTAAATTATGACCAGTAAGACATAGTGTAGTTTGTAAACAAAAAGTTTATAAATACACTCTTGATTAAAGTATGATTAGTAAGATACAGTGTAGTTTGTAAACAAAAAGTTTGTAAATATAACCTTCCCCTTTCTTTCAGTGTAAAATTATATAAAATAGAATGGTTTATTTAGGTACCCGCAAAGCCAACACGAGTCACCAGCTTTAAACTGTCCATTGAAAACATCAACAGAGTTCACCCCGCTACCCTTGCATTGAGAGCAAAGAACAGCTCCTGTTAATTACACACAACAAAAATAAAACGTTCAAATTGTAGATATTTTCTCTTGTTTTTGTCTTTTTTAACTGTACTATGTCAAAGGAGTTTGAAATTAAGAACAACATCCACTTCTCTAGAGGTGTTCGAAAAACAGAACTACATGATTGCAACAAATACAAGAATCAAAGTCCATTATGTTCCAATTCAATAATTTGCATCTAGTAGCTAAGTAAAATCAGAAGCCATCATACCATTTCCATCACAATCAGCACAAATCACACTATTGGGTTTTGTATTTTGGTTGCCTTTTGCAGCCTACATAGATAGAAACTGATTAGCATGTATAAAAAACATAAATAACTACCTCAAATTATTTGGTCAAGGAAGATACTTTTTTAAATGAATGAGCTTATATGGTGTACCTTTGCAATGACAAAGCTATATTTAGCAGTGGGATGGCCTTGAAAAACTGAATTGGCTCTCATATGCTTTGAATTTGTATGGCTTTCTATACCAATACCTAAGCATTCTAAAGTTTGAATACAGAATTAACTCAGCATCAAACTACCAATAAAATAAGATAACACAACAGACAAACACATAGGCTGGGGGCAGTGACCTGTTACTGGTGTAGTTCTGAGGGAACTTAGAAGCGTTAGACACAAAGCAGGGGCCATTGGAAGATTACGAGGATAACCAGATTTATTTGTTCAAGTTGGCTGCTTATTGAACAAGAAATGAAGGAAGGGGGGGATAGATATTATGGTGCTGCTGGACATTCACATTTATGTCAGATATTTTTAGCAAGGAAAAGAATGATTGATTGAGATTTTAGTCAGATATTTTTCTCTATGATAATTGATAAGAATGAAGTTCATTTGTGTCCAGCTATTATTGTTATCTTATTTTATTTATGAAGTTCATTTTTCTCTATGATGATTATTGCATCAGCTTCAATCCAATTGGGCCCGCTTTGAATGCCGTAGGGTAGCAAGCTTTTAAAATTGAAGCCCACTTATCCCAATAGATAAAATTTAACAAACGAAAATACTTAATTTTATTTATGAATTATATATAATTTTTTTTTCTAATCCAATATTTAAATTATAAATTATATTTTAAAACTTTTAAATTGTTATTTGAATGTTCACAAAAATTTAAATCGAGCTAAAATATTAAACAATTTCAGGGTGAGTTCTATCCACATTTTTTTTTTTTTTATACTTTATCAACTTTTAACAACTAAAATCACTTTTACCATTTGAGTCCTTAACTCATTCATTTTTCTCAATCGTATGCTCGTGTCATTTCTTTTTAACACATGAGGTAGACTATTAGAATGGTTAGGAAGGGATTGATATGTTAAAAGTACAGACGAACATCTAATGGAAATATTTGATCCCGAAATCAAACAGTCTACTAAAAGTTAGATTATATTTTATATAACCTTCCCATCGAAATTAACCTTGATATAACCTTCCCATCGAAATTATATTTCATTGTATTTCAAAGTTAATAACAATTCTTATGGAAAAGAAAATATGATAAAAGGAACCATATTTTATTAGGTCGGCAAATTATTACCCCATTTTAATTTAATTTTTGTAAAATATTTGCTGAAAAAAAAGTTTGGATAATTTGAATCTAGGGGTCATGTTTGGTAAAAGACGGTGGTCGAGGAGGCTTTCTATTAAAAGGGGCTTCCAATAACTCAACCCTATTTGTCACTAAGCTGATTCACTCACAGCTACTCTTTCGCCGTGGAGGTTTCGCTCTCTCAATGTTTATTTTCCCCAAATTGTTTATCATCTAACAAATTTACTTTGCAGACTCTTTTGGAACCCTAACCCTAAAACCCCAACCCGCCACCCTTTAACCTTCCTTCCAATCCTTCATTTCGCAGGTATTCCCCACCTCTTATAAACCTAACCCTAACCCTAAATATGATTCATTTTGAAGGTCTGATTTGATTGACACGGTGATTCGCAGATAATGGGAGAAACGAAGGACGAAGGATACGAGGAAGAGCTCCTTGACTACGAGGAAGAAGAAGACAAGGCCCCTGATTCCGTTGGAGCTAAAGTCAACGGTGAAGCTACCAAGAAGTAAGTTATCTCTTGCTTCTCCTATTGCTTGCTTTATCTGCTGAAATTATATAGTTTACATGATAGGGCTAGGCGATGGAGTGTGTTAAGTCATTACTTAGAAACATATTTAGTTTAGCGCATGATTTCATGATGTGCAGTGTTAAGGCATAAATCTACGATTTTTTTAAGTGATTAATCTCTTACCTTCTCTTTCTCTCTCTCTCTTTTTTTTTTTTTTTTTTTGCAGGGGCTATGTCGGCATCCACAGTTCAGGATTCAGAGACTTTCTTCTGAAGCCAGAGCTTCTTCGGGCTATTGTGGACTCAGGATTTGAGCATCCTTCTGAAGGCAAACTATTAAATTATCTCCATACTTGTTTATAGTTATTGTTTTCGTAGGCTGCAGCTGATAGTGATTATTTTTTGAGGATTCTAAAGTTTTAATACTTATTTGTATTATCGTTTTGAAATAATCTTGAGTTTTTTTTTTCTTTCTAAAATGACAATTTTTCTTGGGAAAATTTGCATTTAGGGGTTTTAACATCATAATTAGCTGATACATCATACATATCTGACTAATATATCATTCTTATGTAATTTTTGTCTGGTGCTCATGTTGTTTATGGGAACGAAAAGTTGATTGAACTTACACCTGTGTTTAACACTTATTTTACAGGTAATAATACTTCTATCACAATCTTGTTTTGGAGAACTAACATGCTTTGGTAACGCTGTCAAATAAAATTAAAAGCGTCCGGAAGGTTTGTTTTACTTACCATCGGTTCCTTCGGCCCTGTTTTCTTTGCTTCATCACCAGTGCAACATGAGTGCATACCTCAAGCAATCCTTGGAATGGATGTAATTTGCCAAGCTAAATCTGGAATGGGAAAGACTGCTGTCTTTGTGCTCTCATCTTTGCAGCAGATTGATCCTGTTCCAGGCCAAGTTTCTGCACTTGTTTTGTGTCATACAAGAGAATTAGCATACCAGGTATTTCTTGGGGGCTGAATATATGAAAGTTATAGAACTTTGTATTCTAGTTGCTTCTGATTTAGGATATGCAATCTTTTCCTCGCAGATATGCCATGAGTTTGAGAGGTTTAGCACCTACTTGCCTGATCTCAAGGTTGCGGTCTTTTATGGTGGGGTCAATGTCAAAGTTCACAAGGATCTGTTGAAAAATGAGTGCCCTCATATTGTGGTAGGAACACCTGGAAGAATACTAGCATTGGCTCGTGAGAAGGATCTTTCTTTGAAGAATGTTAGGCATTTCATTTTAGATGAATGTGATAAAATGCTGGAATCACTGGGTTTGTTTCATTTCTGAATAGTCATTCTACTGAGCTGAATTTTTCTTCAGGACTTGTTGTATTTTCAATATGGTTTTTATTGTTCCCATCATGTTTTTTGCAGACATGAGGAAAGATGTTCAAGACATTTTCAAGATGACCCCCCATGATAAGCAAGTTATGATGTTTTCTGCAACACTGAGCAAGGAAATTCGCCCAGTCTGCAAGAAATTCATGCAAGATGTAATTTCTCATGGCCAGTACTACTTGAATTAGAAGTATCTTTTTCATACTGCCCACATTCCCTGAGAGGTTTTTGGATATTTAGAATGCTTTAGTTTCATTTGTTTCTAATTTTGATAGGGGTTCTGTATGTATAGTGGTTATTAGTTGTCCAATTATTTCGGAAACATCCAGCTACTGGGGTGGAGTGTGATTGGCTGTAGACTGGGCTAGAAGATTTGGATGGGATGTTTTAGTAATGCTCCTGAATGTGGCCGTGTGTACTTTTTTTTCTCTTTTGGTTCATGTTGGAAGTTTTTTTTTTTTTGTCTCTAATATCTGGTGTGTGTCTGGTATGGGCTTTTCACTGTTGGGTATTCTTTTTTCTTTAAGGAGGGGGAGGGATGTTAGGGTATTCTGGGTTTCTTGCTGCCAATGTTGTTAGTGTGAGTGTTGAGTGTCAGTGGCACTTGCTTGGCGTGACTAAAAAAAGTTTCTGCAAGGAGACAAAACAGATGGACAAGAACTGTGGTTGAAGGGATCTGCATCCTTCATTAATTTCGTTCTGGATTCCATTAGCTTGAGGAAGGCCCCTAATATGATTTACTGTGAAATTTGTTCCTTTCAGCCGATGGAAATTTATGTTGATGATGAAGCCAAGTTGACCCTTCATGGACTTGTGCAGGTAAAACTTTTGCAATTTTCTTTTTTAATTCTTTCCTCGTTTTTAATTAACGTGTGATCTGTATGGATTACATTGATGACTTACATGGCAGCACTACATCAAATTGAAAGAGGAGGAGAAGAACCGGAAGTTGAATGATCTTCTTGATGCACTAGACTTCAATCAAGTTGTTATCTTTGTGAAAAGTGTTAGTAGAGCAGCCGAACTGGACAAACTACTTGTGGAGTGCAACTTTCCATCTATATGCATTCACTCAGGCATGTCCCAGGAAGAAAGGTTTGTTTTTTGAGATGTCAGTGGTTGCCAATGAACTTTCAATCTCATAAGTACGTTATTATATTGATCTATGGAGAAAGGATATTGTGAAGTTTTGGCGATGGCTGTAATTTCATGTTGATGATTCAATTTATTCCATTGTGATTATCTCTCTATGCCTTATAGTGTTAAGGGTTATGCTGGAGAGCTCAGGAAAAAAACCAGTGTGCAAAACTGGGGGACTTTTTGTGGATGTTTGCAGAAAAGTGTGGATATTACCTTGCACTGATCCAAAACTGACAATAATAGTGAATAGAGGAGGTGTCATTACTTGTTTCTTTAAATTTTTTATATGTAGCATCACCGTAGTGTTTAAGCTTGTAATAGTCCAAAAATTTTATCTTGAATATCATGTTTAATAATAAAGAAAATAGTGCATTTGAGTGAGATTTTGAATATAAGTTCAATTTTCCATGAAAGGCCTTGTTCAAAAGTTGATGAGTATGTAAGTTGGGAGTGACTGAATGGTTTTGTTCAATTATCACACCACTGTGGAACTAGGGTTTGTGATGTACTATAGCATTAGCGAATACCACGTTTGGTGAGAAAGAATGAATCCATCTTTGGAAAATTTCCAATTGTATGAATGAAAAAAGAAGGTTGGGGTAGGGGTGCTGGTAAAATAGTACCTGCTTTCATTTACTACTATCATAGCTTGCTGATAATTGGTCACTATACTATACCTTGTAGCCAAGCAAGTGGTTGAGTGAGTTGTTGAAATTTGTGTATGATTATGGTTAATGTTATTTGTAGGTTAAAACGTTATAAAGGTTTTAAGGAGGGGCATACCAGGATTCTTGTTGCAACAGATTTGGTTGGTAGGGGAATTGACATTGAACGTGTCAATATTGTTATAAACTATGACATGCCTGATTCTGCAGACACATACTTGCACAGGGTAATGATGGGATACAATCTGTTTTCAGTTTCATCTTTTTATTAGTTTTAATGTCACTAAATTCTAGTTTATTTGGATGGATTCTGTACAGGTTGGTCGAGCTGGAAGATTTGGCACCAAAGGCCTTGCAATCACATTTGTTTCATGCTCTACTGATGTCGATGTTCTTAACAATGTAGGAACTTCTTTTGTTGACATTTTTTGTACAATGCATATTACCATTTGTAATCATGTTTGGTGTGATTTCCAGGTTCAATCAAGGTTCGAGGTGGATATAAAGCAGCTTCCTGAGCAGATTGATACCTCTACCTACAGTATGTCATTTTTTATCCATTAATTTTAGTTCCTATAATGTTAATTTGAGATTCTTGCTTCACTTTGCATACCGGGTTGAGTCAATGGTATTGCCTCCTAAATTTTTGTCTTCTGGACTTTATCTTTTGTAGATTGCAGTGTTTGGTAGTAAAGTCATTTGCAGTCTTCTTTTGGTGTCATTTTGACTTGTACTTCTCATGTTAAAAATCCTTTTTCATAATTCCAGCAGTTATTATTTAATACATTTGTCAAAAAAATTCATTAGATTTTTATTCAATTCATTCTAAAATTCTTGAATTGTGCTTTAAGTTACTTTCAAATGTCTTTCTGATGTAAACTTTTGATCTCTGTTTCCACTGGATTGCTTTGCATTGTTTTTCCGTTCTAAATATTCATTTTTCAATTGCATGTATTTTATGTTTCACGAAGTTATGGAAACACCAATGTATTTTTTTAATGGTACATTGATATACCAATGTTTTTTGTGTCAATTGAAATAGTACAATTAATTGAAAATTTTCTTTCAAAAACTTCATGCTATTTATGCTTTATGTTGGCCCCTTTATTTGATGTGTGTAAGATTCTTTGTTAATTGCAGGTATGAGATATCTTCTTCTTTTTACTGCTATGAGTTTTTGTTTCCTCTTTTTTTGGGTTTTATGATTTTTTTTATTTAATTTTTATAATTTTGCGCCACTAATTTGAAGTTTATGTTGACTTGGTTTTTCCTTGATGTTTTCTGCAGTGCCATCATAGTAGATTTTGTTTCGGGGCAATGCTTTTAACTGCTTGGATGGTATGATGAGTTGCTATTGCAGATTTATTGCATCTCCTGGATTAGTGACTCGGTTTTATGAACAATACAGTTGCTAATCATCCATGCTGATGCCGGAGTCTTTTTTACAGAGTAGGCCATTTTACCATTGAAGGTTTATCCGTATTAAATATTGCTGTATGATTAAGAATTTATGCGGTTCCCTTAACTGTATTGTGTGACAGCTACGCTGTTTTCATGAACGTAATCTTTGCATTAGTTTTACTGCGACGTTGGTATTGTGTTTGAATGAGATATATGGTTTTCGAATTAGGATGTGATCGGATTAGCTGTGAATTTATTTTTATTTTTTCAATAATCGATTGTTATAATCATTTAATTAAGTTTTATGTTCTGATATGCAAGCTGATGAGTGATTGGATTGTTTAAAAAAATTACATTTTTACTATTTGTTTGTACTAATATTTGATGTCATTTTAATAACAAATTTTCTTAATTTTAGTTTTTTCTTTTTTCCTGTTCATTGTTAATCCTTTTCAACCAAATGGAATGTAGTAATTGCATCACTCTTATAGCTTAATGTAACTTTATTTCGCAAGGGTATATTTGTGGTTTGATAATGATAAACATAAAAAGAGCTCAAATTTTGATAAAAGAAGGATTGTAGTATATGAAGAAAATCTAATAGTTTTTGCTTGCATGTTTTTTATTTTTAGTCACACCACGGCTCAGTATATAGCACACATTAAAAAGAGAAAACATAATTCAGATAAATAAGTGGAAAGGTAGGGCAAAATAAGGATTTACACGAGGAACACAAGAAAAATTAAGATATACAGGTTGAAAGGGAAAATGAGGAAAAAGAATAAGGAGATACACATCCAGGCGGAGTTAGTGACCTCTTAGTGAGTCAAATGGAAGGAAAAAGACAATTTTATCTATGATGAGAAAGTTAAACATTGAAAAATATTTCGGTTTTTCAAGTATCTTTTTTTCATAAAAAATATATTTTGGTACAAATTTATTCAGTCCACGAACAGACTGTTTAAAGTGTGATCTTTAAGTAGAAGTTTTATTTCAGGTTGAAAGTAGAATATTAAGTTGGTTTTGTTGTGCTGCACTTTAGTCTCAATGAGAATTTGATCAATGCTCTTGCTAAAGAAACTTGATTTGTTTTGTTGTGAATTGGTTGAAATTAGAAATTATTCGCATCCCGTACGCGGTACGCTAGAGGCCTGCCTCTAATCACAATCTTAATGGCAAAAGAAATTTTGTAAAAAGAAAATATATTTTAATGATAATAAAAAAGAAATGATAAAAATAAAAGTGTCTTGATCAAGAGCAAAATAAATGTTAATTATTAATTATTACAAATTTTATTTTGCAATTTATCTTATGTTTTATTCTACTTCATACTATTTTAATATTAAACATAAAATATAAGTTTTTATATTATTATTTTATGTTAGTTTTAGTCTGATTAACTACAAGACCACTGGCATACCAAAAAAAAAAAAAACTACAAGACCACTGATTATTTTACTTTTATTTTTATCTGAGCCCACCTTTTTCTTTTGTTCATCCAAAGTTGTAGGCTTGGCCCGCACATACCTCGTTTTTGTCCTTTGGTTCAAAAACTTGGGTATTAAATCGTGCGAATTGTGATTCAACATTAACTTTCCTTTGATAAATTTAATGGATTGATAAAAGGTTACCATCTTTAATGATGTGGCATATATATTTAATAAAAAATCATGTTCCTGAACATATTTTGAATTGTATAACAATTCATATTATTTAACCCCTTATTTATATTAAAAATATTATACTTAATTATTATGTTAAAAGATTTAACTGAAAAAATGTATTTTGTAATAAAAAGTTGTCAAATAAAGAAAATTAAAATGTTAAAAATCAATTTTATTTTATTATATATTATCACTTTTATTTAATAAATCTTTTTCCTATCATTACTTTCACCCCTGCGATTAATGTATTATTATTTATTTCTCATTACAATATAAGCATAAATGTATTATCATTAACTCTGCATTTAATGATATTAATAATTGTTTTTAAGGTAATTTTACTGATATGATAATATGTAGATAATGGCCACAAAAATATGTTTCTTTATTACTTATTGTAAACTAAAACGTCATCAAATAACTGTTTCGTAATTTTTTTTTTTAGTGTGTAAATGTTCTTGTATAACTCATTTAGAATTTTGATATGTATGGACCTCGAAGTTGACTAATTCTATTACATGGATATATTTATGGGCCATTGTATGTTTTTGCAAATACAATTAAAATCATATTTATCGCCAGAAACAACATTATGAGCTTTGATTTTCAAGATAAATATGATCACTTGAATGGGGCAAGGAATTAAAAAAAGAAAAATTAAAAGTGGGAGAGTAATTTAAGGTAAAACTGAAAATTCATAAATAAAGCATAATTGGTTGGCATTAATTATAGGACTTATCTAATCTCGTGTGCATGAGAGAAAGAATCTTATGTCATAGACACATAGTGGCGGGACTCACCACCTAAAAAATAAAAAAATAAAAAGAAAAATGTTTGCTCAGTTATTGAAAGATATACAGGAAGGAAAATTTATCTCATGTAATATGAGAATAATTTTTCCCTTAATTATAATGGGAAAATCATTTATAAGATAAGCTTGGAAAAATATCATTAAATGACATTAATTATCAAGTGAAAGGTGCAACTCGCCTGGAGTTAATTTATTATAATGGATAATTTCATGTGTTATTTAACATGACCAAGTTGTGTAAGAGAATCTTAGTTGTTAGGGAATGGTGATTAGAGATAAGAGAAAAAAAAATATTAAAATTAAAAATGACAACTAGATAACTGTTAATTTGTCCCTGAATAATTAATAAGGACTCACGTGATATGATGATGTTAAATATTTAATACACTTATAGCTTGTATTCTATGTATTCAACACACTAAAAAAAAAACAGTGGTTTTGTACCAATTTAAAGCAACCAATTCTTAATTTTTTTTTTTCTTGTAACCAGTCTGTGTGCATCTGTTTTTCTCTCTCTTCACTATTCACCAATAATGGCCCCTATTACTGTTGATGAGCTCCATCTATTTCACAGAATGGACCGTGAAGTTTTCTCTTGCTTGGTCATCAAATTGACTCGTGACCCGGCACAATCCCTTCTAGTCATGGCCTTATGGCTTTGGTTAGAAAATACTGGATACACGAATATTATTTCAAAATTGGTTGGTCTCTCTGACAATTTGATCAATGCTTTAGCTAATGAAGCTGTGACTTGCTTGAAGTGGTTGGAGTTAGAAAATACTTGCATCCCTAATGCAGGTTGCCTGCCTCTAACCACAATCTTAATGCAAAGGGAAATCTCTCTTCAACTCCTTATTCATAAAAGGTTCACTGTCATAGCCGGTATTAAATGTATTCTCAATAAAGTTTGTGCTCGAATTTTTATTGATATTTTACAAAATATTTTGGATAGCACTAGCACTAGCACATCACAACCTAGCCCTTATAGACCCTTGCTTGTCCCTGGTTTCCCTCACCCATTATTTGGTACCTTTACCGTACCACCACTAATTTTTGATGAATTAGATTTGTCTGACATGAGGATATGGGATGATAAACGACCATCTTATGATGTTACTGATGATGACAAAACTATGTTTCTGACATTTTCTAGGGGCTTCCCAGTAACAGAAGAGGAGGTGAGGCATCTATTTAGAAGCAGTTATGGGGATTGTATCAAGGTTATAAACATGGGGAATGGAGACATAGTTGAACAAGTTATGTTTGCCACAATGGTTCTGAAAAATGTGGAAACAATTGATCAAATTTTGAATGGGAAACGCATTGCAAAGTTTCGGGTCAATGGAAAACACATATGGGCTCGCAAGTATGAGCGTCGAGATTGAATTTTATCATCTAAAAAAAATTAGAAGCCAAAGTTACCTACAACTAAACACAGAAGACACATCTACCTTGTTTGTTTTCTTGTTCTACTTGGTAAACTACACTTTTGTACTTTTAAGTGAAAAGATGCACAATTTATGATAAGAAGGTGTGGCTCGATACACAATTTTATATTAAATTAATTCCCTCTATGCTTTATAAGCCTTTGCATTGCAGCTTGTCTTAATGAATGGAAGCATACACGCAAACCTAAAGTAGCGAGTGTTTATTTGTTGCACAAGTATATGAAGATATTGATCCAATATATTGATTAGAGATAGGTCATTTTTTTTTTTTTTGGATATTAAAGGTAAGTCATTCTTACACTGATGTAAAAAGTTAAAGAGTGTTATAAAAAAAAGGTTAAAAAGTAAGCAGTTTTACACTAATGTTTAACCATTGATTCACTTGTATAAAATGATTCACATAATCAAAAAATTAGAACCGTCAAATAAAAATGAAATCAACGGTTAAGATTAACAGTGTAACTTACAAAAATATAAAATGATCCTGATAGATATGATTATTAATAAATACTAAATACTAATATGAATATAGAACTTAAAGTATATAATATATATGTGTGTATGTGCACTATTACATGAGAACTCTTGTAGATACATGTTGCGTAAAATCGGCAAGTGCACCGATCGTACCAAGTAATAAAGAGTAAGTAGAGATCGTCTTTACGAGGATTGAGGCACCAAAATTATTTTAACTATTCCTTTCTTGTTGGATGAATAAAAATTGGTTTGAGAATATTTGTTTTTGTAAAAATTGAGAATTATCCAAGACTTGTAAACAATTCAAAGATAATTTTGAAAACTTGAGAATAAAAGATTTAGGTTGAGAAAATATTTAAAGAATATTGCGGTAAAAGACGCCAACACCTTTATGATCCCCACCTTGTAATATTAATTAATGTTTACATTTAATTACCCATTGATCAAACAATTCATCATCTATCAATTGATTAGTTAAGCCCTAATTCCTTAGTGATCTTAACTTTATTAACTCTATTAGAATCCTAATCCTTTAGAAATCCTTTTTCAAGTTAATCTTTTAAACCAGTGAATTTTCCATGTTTGCAATTCATTTACCCTATCCCTAGTGTATACATGAATTGTTATTTTACCCTCTGTCAGGAACTAGAATTTCAATATTTCTATTCAAAACTCTAACCCTCGCAATCCTAAAAGAGTGATCAATTCTAGAAGAATTATAGATGAAGAACAGGATAAAATAAATGCAATTGAAATAATTAAATATAAAATTAACCAAACTACAAGGGGTTCACATTAAGGGTTGTGACCCTTACCACAATAATAAATGACTAGCGAGACATATTCATGTCTGACAATTCTAAGTATTGAAAATAATTCATAAAAGAATAATAACCAGAAAATTTGGAGAAGAAACTTGCTCCGCCTTCTGCCTTCGTGTTCTTCTCCGCGCCCCAAAAAAGTTCTCTCTTTTGAATTTCTGACTCCCTTTTATAACCGGCAATTCAATCAGGTCATAATCTTCAGAGAGATTTGATTTTTCTTTCCGTTTTCATTTAAATTTGCAATCATGGAATTAAAGATTCAAAAACCGACGTCCGACGCAATCAGCTCTGATTCCACGCCTGTCGCGTGAAGTGTTTCAAATCGCCGACGCAAGTAGCGTGACTTTCACGCTAATCGCGTGAACTGGCAGGGAGTTCCCAACTTGTTGACGCTGTTAGCTTCATTTCCACGCCATTAGCGTGGGATTGCGCGACCTGCGTAGGATTTATTGCCATTAGTTGGCGCAACTAGCGTGGGTTTCACGCCATTTGCTTCACATGGCGCGAATAGCGTGGGATTTTACGCCATTAGCGTGAAGAAACAGTGGTTGGCTTCAATTTGGCGCGCCTAGCATGGAGTTGGCGCCACTTGCGTGAAGTTCAGGACAATTTTCACGCCATTAGCGTAAGAATGCAGTGGCCATTTGCTTTTCCTCAGTTTGAAGCTATTAGCGTGGAATTTACGCCGTGAAAGGTGTTGTTTGTAACAGTTATTTTTCCATGCTTTCCTCCTATAAAAATATCAAATCAGAGTGAAAGTGTGCCTGAAGATAAATAGTCAATAATTCACTAAAATCATGCTATTTATCACTGAATTACTGTCAAATTCTTATTCTTTTCACACTGAAATATCTATATGCTGAAGACACATCAATACATTGGTGGTCTACGAATGCGTTGTTCACGACCTAGGCGTTCAGGTTTAGGATTTGCTGGAGTAACAACGGTCTCACACAGTGCTTGGGTTTCATTCGAGCGAACATCAGGTGTGGCTAGTTGCGAAAGTGCAGTTTGTATAGGTGAATGGGAGTTTTTAAATTGTATTTTTTTAGTAAACTTTTTTTTCTCCACTACGTATATTTTGGTACCTCCGCCAAGGTTTTAGATGGTTCGGGATTTTTTTCCTCAAGCTTTATGAACTTCGTCCGAAGTTAGCCCTTGTTTAGGGGACATATTCAAAGCTTTGACTCTAATTTTTGCCATGGTTTTTTTTTTTTAAATGTCCTTCTTCAATGGCGTGCTCAAAAATTTATCTTTAACTTCATCGCCCTTCAACTTAACATAAAATTCAATTTTGCACTTTGGGTCCTAATTGTAATAATGTTTTTTTATTTATAAATTAAATATTCTTGTAAATGCATTTTTAAATTCATAAGATCACGTTGCAATGCACTTTTGTAATAATACGGCATACGATTTGAAGACATGGCTCGGAATCGAATTCAAGTCTATAATCTTGTAAAGTAATTTACAATTTTTTCAATAATATATACTTTTTTTAAAATTTATTGATATCTATATTGTTGTTTATGCAAAACGCACAATTGAAACGAAGTTTTTTTTTATTTCCTTTTTATTTTATTTTAGTGACCATTTAGTTTTGTCGAAGAATTCCTGCCCCATCGTTTTCATTGTTAGGATGAGGTGGGCCTAGCTACTCACTTAGGGCTTTGCTCCAACTTGTTGGACAATTTGGTGTTGGCCCAACCCAAACATTAAAATACTTTCTGTTTCAATTCCCAAAGATTGGTGACTAAGAGCCAAAAAATTGATGGCTCAAACGATAAGAAGAATCATCACTAAAAATTATTGGAAGTTTTTTATGTTCCTCATTTCTTATCGACCAAGATTTCAGTAACAAGGAAAAAAATAGAAAATATATACAATGCCAATTAAACAAAAGTTTGGAACCTATTAAAAAAAATGTATTTGTTTGATGAATCCTTATGTGATTTAATTCGTGTTTTTTCTCCCCTAGTTGCTTCAAAATCTTTTTTTTTTTTTGCAATCTCCTCTCAGTAAGAGAAATTTACCCAGTTACCTCAGCAAGAGACGCACACACCCTTGGCTCCATTCTCATATTACGTCACATGCCACAAATGGAATTCACTTCCTTACTCAGCGAGAGACATTGTGACTTGTTTTTCTGGAACAATGAATATTTTGTTATGTTTGGACAAAAAAATTATCAGAATGTCACGTGAACAGTAAATTTTGTCAAAATGTCACGCGGCATAATTTGCTACACTGTGTAGCGAATTATGCCGCGTGACGTTTTGACAAAATTTACTGTTGACGTGGCAGTCTGATAATTTTTTTGTCCAAACATAACACTTTGTTCAGTGTCTTTGTTTTTCTTCTGCTCCTCGAATTTATTGTAACAGGTAGTGGAGTAAAGTACTAAGAGTAGCTAACTACATTTTCTTTTTTCGTGTATAGAATTCTGCCTTTGATAAATTGGTTGGACTTAGAAATTGTCTCTATCACACTGTGCCTGTGGCTTGTTCATTTCGAAAATGTTTCTTGCTCAAACATTTGTAGAAACTTTACCTTAAACGTATTATTAATATTGATGAATAAAAAATTAAGAGAAAAAGGAGATGGAAAAATGAATGATAGTTTATGTAATTAACGTGCATGTGTTCACTTTGGCTACTCTCTACTTACTGGAGTCGGTCTTTCGCTGTCTTTTTCGTATATTTTCGATTATTGATGTTAAGGGTGGCTGCGCCCAAGTTAGGCAATAATTGGAGTCCTAACCAAATTGACCCAACTTATGATATGACCCCCTAACAGTACTTTAGAAAGTGTTCCAATTATTGCAAAATAATTGTCAACAAATACTTTAAATTAATTTTTAATTACATTATTATTTTGCAAATCTCTCTTCCTAATATTCCTCACTCACAACTTTTCTTCCCACAAAATCTCAGATTTACTAAAACTCTCGTCCTATACTAATCCTTCATAACTCCTTCCTTCACGCTTCTCTTTCTTAAATTACGAAAATAAAATAAAAAGAAGATCATCGTTAGTCTCTCAAAATGACTAAAATATATCTATTTTAAATTTAAAAGGGACCTCGAGCCGAATTTTTTTTCTAAAGAATTAAATTGGATTCCATAATATTTGTTGAGTATCCAAAAATTTTAAAGGGACCACTTATTTATATTCTTTTATTTTTGATACATTTAAAATATTTTAAATTTTTTTTTGGGGGCGCAGCCCCCGAATCCCAACCCTAAATGTGCAGATATAAATAAAATTTTCTAGGTCCACCACTGCTATAACATAACCTAAACACTTTCCTAAATATTATACTTCTTTTTCCCTTAAATCTATTGCTTTTGTTTAAAGAAAAAAATGTTTATCCTTTTAAATGATATAATTTATATTATCTTACTCTTATAAAGAGATTAGATCCACGCCTTTATTTTTTTTGTTCACTCTCTCTCCCCATGCTTTATATATTTTTCTCACTTGAATGACACGACATTAGTCCTTTAAAATAATACACATTTTTTTTCTTTTTTAAAACATATTAAAACTTAAAAGTACGAGTTAATTTTTTTTTTAAGTACAAGTTTAAGATTGATCTAGTAAGAGAGATTTGGGTAGTTTATATTAAATTGTGTG